GACGATTTCTGGGCCTGTGCGCCTATTATAGGCGGTTCGTAAAAAACTTCGCCCGCATCGCCGATCCTCTCACTAACCTTACCAAGGCCGACGTGGAGTTCAAGTAGGAAACGCCACAGGAACACACTTTCCAGGAGCCTAAACATCGCCTTCAGACACCTCCGTTACATGCCCATTTCGACGAATTCGCCGAGACAGAAATACATACTGACGCAAGCAGCGTAGGTCTTGGCGCCGTTCTTGTGCAGACGGACATGAAAGGGTTATTAGTTATGCCAGCCGATCGCTATCCAAAGCAGAAGCAAATTATTCCACAACAGAAAAGAAGTGCCTCGCCATCATCTGGGCTACGTCAAAATTTCGCCCCTACCTCTACGGCAGGCCATTCAAAATTGTGAGCGACCACCACGCCTTGTGTTGGCTAGCCACCTTGAAGGGCCCTTCAGGTCGCCTCGCACGATGGAGCCTGAGACTTCAAGAATATGACATTACTGTCATTTACAAGTCCGGCAAAAAACACTCCGACGCCGACTGTCTCTCTCGTGCGTCTGTCGACCAACTGCTACCCGACGACCCGGATGACGCCTACTTCTTGGGAACGATAACTACCGACGACTTCGCTGAACGACAGCGGGCCGACCCGGAACATAAGGCCCTAATAGAATACCTCGAAGTCAGGACCGCCGAAGTCCCGAAGGTATTCAAGCGCGCACTTGCGTCGTTCTTTCTACGAAACGGTCTTCTACAAAAGAAAAACTTTTCACCGCTTCGAGCTAAGTACCTTCTTCTGGTGCCTTCAGCTCTGCGACCAGAACTCCTGCAGGCCCTGCACGACGATCTGACGGCAGGGCACCTCGGTGTTTCTCGCACGCTCGCGAGGATACAAGAAAGGTACTACTGGCCACGTCTTATCACCGAAGTCACTCGTTATGTGAGGACATGCCGGGACTGTCAGCGACTCAAGACACCGCCGACAAGGCCAGCGGGACTTCTGCAGCCAATTGATCCACCTTGCCGACCTTTCCAGCAGATTGGTATGGACCTACTGGGGCCGTTCCCGACGTCGGCTTTCGGAAACAAGTGGATACGTCGATGTCGAACACAAGACGTGGGACGGCATTCTTCCGTATGTGACCTTCGCATACAACACGGCGGTGCAGGAGACGACGCAGATATCTTCATACAAATTGGTCTACGGAAGGAGCCCAGCAACGACACTCGATGCCATGTTACCCAACGTCACCGACGAAGAAAGCCTCGATGTGAGCGAGTACCTTCATTGTGCCGAAGAAGCCCGACAACTTGCGCGTCTCCGTATCAAGAATCAACAGACGACAGACAGCCACCGTTACAACCTTCGACGACGTTTCGTGGAATACCAGCCCGGTGAACGTGTTTGGATGTGGACGCCGATACGCCGACGTGGACTAAGTGAAAAAGCTTCTGCGACGCTACTTCGAACCGTACAGGGTGGTTCGACGTCTCGGCCCACTTGATTACGAGGTTGTCCCCGACGGCATCACGAACTCTCAACGACGCCGATCGCGACCTGAAGTCGTGCATGTCGCGCGCCTCAAGCCGTTTCATGCGCATTAACAAACTGAAACAGTGTTTTTTGTATTATTGTTTCATCGTAATTTATTCATTGTACTTTCTTGCATTATTATTGTATCTTCATCTTTAGTTAAAGCATCGGGACGATGCCTTTTTTTCAGAGGGGGCAATGCCACGTTCCATTTCCCAAGTTTTTGTTATCGTCCCAAAACACCACATGATTCTCAGCGCAAACGGCGCCTGCAGTTTTCAAGAAAGTTCCGGACTGTAGTAGATCATTTCGATAAGATCACGCCCACTGTGCGAACGGTACAGATTGTTCTGGAACCTACTCCACCGCCAGCGATAACGCTAGAACATTCGACGGCAAGGGTATAAATGCCGACGCGCTTCGCCGCTTGTCAGTTGTTGATCGAAGGCCGACGCGCCATTCGCCGCTATCAGTCCGAGACTGCTATCTGTGCAAGACTACTGCTGTAATTGGACTTTCCGTTTACCAGGCACAGGTTCGTTCAAATAAACAGTTAAATCCCAACACGAAGTCTCCTGTCTTCGGCCACGTCACGACCCCGTGACAATATGAGACACTCTAGATCAGTCACTTTGTTTGCGATGGTAGGAGCATTTAACAGTATGACAGTTAGCTATGATGATGACGGCGTTACACCTAGAGGACTGTAGGGGGCGTTAGATTCATTTGATGCCTCTAATGGGTTATCTCGATCACCTTTCCCTGTTTGTTCTGCAAAGGGAAAGGTTTTTGCATTTTATGGTCCCAGCCATAAAACCTTCCATCTACATTAAGTTTATCGTGAACCAGCATTGTTTTTTTCCCCTGAGCCCTATCTGCTGCCACACTATCCCACAGTTTCTTCCATACATGTACGGTTTCTTGGGCATAATTGCTACTCACATCAAACTGCCTTTCAGTTTTCCACAGTTCGTTATTACGCGTTCCTTCTCTTTGAAATCATAAAATTTCATTATGGCCGGCCTAATTTTTCCCGATTATTCTCTGCCGATTCGATGAATTCTCTCTATTATTGTGGTCTTGACTGAGTATTTTGTGAAACACGTTTTCCACAACAGACGCCATTAAGTCCGCCTCAATTTCAAACTTTTGCTCAGGAATGCCGAAAACTACGAGGTTATTTCTTCGACTTCGGTTTTCATATTCAACAAGCTTTTCTGCCTGCCACTGCACAACGGACTCTAAGTATTCAATCCGTACATTTATTTCTTGAATTAGTGCAAAAGATTGTGCAAGTTTGTCGGTATTAGCATTTAGAGCAATATATGCCTTAATTGTTATAGTCACGTCACTGGCTTCCTTTTGATTTCTTAGGATTTGCTCCAGTATTTCCTTAGTATCTGGTCCCGGGTTTTCCTCTGCGTCACCCGACATCAACAGGCACAAAGTTACAGACCACCAATCAACTGCAATAGCACAGCAGTAGCATATTTTTTACTTCTGCCAACTGCCAACGATCTTCCAACTAAACTTGGGAATACACACAACTGCCAAAACCACCTAACAAACACAACTGATGCCTAGGGAAGCGGCGTAGGCCTAGCGCACCCCACAAAGGCAGACAGATGCAAAAGCTGTGGTCACCTTCGTTTGGTATGGTGGTGATCATCGCCGCACTAAGAGAAGGCGACCGCGGGTCTCCTGGCCACTGGTCTTCACCCAGATGTGCGGTACTACAGTGCCTAGAATACACTTAGTGGTACTCTATGGTGTGGTTACCATGAACTAGTATAGGAGTACTGTGAAATTGCTTTACTGCAGCACCGCAACTGTCGCAGCTGGAAAGGCTGACATACGCGAAATTCAGAAATTACACTGCTGCGGCAGTTACTTTTCAGGAAATTCGAGGTAGCATTCGTACAAACAGATTAGGTCACACTTTGGGAGTCTCCCAGACAATTCCGGAAAGTTGGAGGGCATTTCAAAACTATGCATTTTATTTCGATGAGGTTGATTTTCAATGAGTTTGCTGTGCTCCAACACGATAATTTTGATAGCACTTTGTTAAATTCAATCATGAAATCCTTTGCAGTTACAAGAATTGTAGTGTCCTCCGCATGCATAATAAATTTTATATGATGATTAATGCTCACTAAAAGTGCAACGGCCTCAGATTCTTCCTTGTGGTACTCTTGCAATAAGTGGTTTCACGGTGGACGCGCATATACTGATAACCACTTTTTTCATGCGACGCTGAAGGTATGATTTTACTAATTTCAGGAAGATTCTCTGAAAGCCATAGTAGTTTCATTCTTCTTCAAGTGTGGTATGGTTCATGCACTCAGGTGCACTCGAGTAGTCTACAAATATTCCCAATCTACATAGCTGATGTTCTAACGATTCTAATATGATTTTCTTTTGTGTTAGAAGGGCAGTTTCAGTAGACTGACTTTTCGTAAATCCAAACTGCATATTTGTCATTAATCTATGCTTAGTTATAAAGAATGTAGTGTGACCACGAATTAACTTTTCTAATGGTTTTGGAAAAATTGGTAAGACTGATATTGGTCTATAGTTAGAGTGTTTCTATCCCCGCCCTTATGCAACACTATAGCCTGGAGGCTTTTTGAAAGAGTACCACAAGATAGAACAATATTGTAGATGTGTGTCACGGTCGGAGTGATGGCACATATTATGTACTTTGAAGGCACGATTTCGAAACCATCAGCATCACAACATTTACAGTTAACAATTGATAAACATGTGTCAGGTACTTCCTTATGTGCTGAAAAGCTACATGCTCAAAATAACCGTGATTGCCAAGCTCTCATGATGGAAGGAATCATCTTAAAAAGCATACCTTGTCCACATAAATGAGCCTTCACTTATGCCCTTAAAACGCGTTTTTCTCAAGATCCATTTTTGGGCAATTTCATGAGGTTAGACATGATTTTGATAATTCTGATAGCCTGCTTGAAATGAAATTTCACCCACATTTCTTAACATTTTTTTTAAAACTTGATATTATCACAAGCCAAAAGTAAGCAATTAGTGTGGGCTGAGGATTCTAAGAATTGTCACATTATAATTTTCCTTGACGATCGCAATGTTTTATATACACTTTGGTGATAGTTATATGTATGCCGCAGTTAATGTGGATAAATATGAGGGTTCAATGGCTTAGAACCATAAAAGTTTAGTGGCATAAAATGTTTGTCCATAACGAGCTATACTTTACACATTTTCATGGCACAAAACAAAAACTGCGCAACTTACTGTAAAACTGATTACACAATTGAAATCATCAGATTATACATATGAAATTTTATACCCCTAGGCTACAGATGAAGGCAACTTATTTTCCCGAATCGCATCTCTTCTTAACGCTGTCGTTTGGTAGGTGCAATGAGTAAACGAATGATGTATAGACTGGTGGAGGAGCTGTGCGCCTCACGAGAAGAAGAAGGCCTCTCACCGAGTGCCAAGTCGTCGTGTGCGCAAGCCAAGGAAAACAGAACGGATGAGCTTTCCAAAGGAAGCGGCATTGACGGGTTCCAGCTTGTGTTCCCCGCAGTGCCGCAGGTAGTGGTTGTACAATGTGCTCCGCGGCAACGACACCCCCTCCGCAGTCTCGTAGTTGTCGATCAACCACTGCACCTGCACACACCACTAGTTTTGGCTCACAGCGCAATGTTTTACGCAGGCACCTCAGTAAAATTTTATGCCATGCAAGCACATTATCTGTAGCTTAGGGTGCCTTTGAGCTGTTGCCAAGTTCATTATTTTACCAAAATGTTGAGTATACAGCTACTAGTGTATTTAAGTGTTGAAAAATTATAATGAAAAATCGTGATTTCCCAATTCAGCCAAGAGCGCATTCAAGTGTAATGTGGCTAGGTCACAACAATGCACAATCCAAAATAGGTTATAAGGATACCTCTCAGCTGTTTCCTTTTTGCAGAGCTCGCACAAAAACAGTGTTTCGCACCCCCAGTAAAAGTGCCAAATCAAGGCTCCTTGCCCCTTGCGACCAGCCGTATAAGGACAGGTTGCCTCGCTGTGTTCCCAGCACCTTGCATATTGCCAGGGGCTTTGCCTGTGAACGGTGAACATTGTTTTGCTACCGTGGCCTGCTTCACATGTTTTGCTCTGATGCAATAGTGTCAAACTTATTTGGAAGTAAAGATGCAAAAAAATTTATCTTCAGAAAATAAAAACCCCATAGCCCCAAGCAGTGACATAGCTGGAGATAGCATACCAGGCCTGTGCCCTCGCCCGTCTTCCCTCCAGATTTTTTTAAACCATGGCACACAGAACCCAAAATGACATTCGACCACATATGCCTGTTCAGCTCCCACATCATACCGTGGAGACCCCCCCCCCCCATAAAAAATTCTGCCAATGCCCGTCTCAAACAGTGGTCCTATTTCTAATATTATTACAAACAATGAAATAAATCTCGCCTGCCAAGCAAATTGCAACACAGTGCACCATCCTCGTCATATTCAAAACAGTAACGGTGGAGCAAAGCATTTAAGTTTTATAAATTAGATGAACATAAGAAGCATGCTAAAACAGATCAAGCTTAATTGTGATCTTTTGTGTGTGACCTGAATCCCGTAAATGTTTACTTACGTGAAAGGTAGTGTTCACATGTACAAAGGTACAGTTATACCAGATATATGTGGTACATGTTTGGCCAAAAGACCCGTGGCCTTCTTTTTGTAAGTGCCCCAAAAATGGGGCCACAGGTCTGCTCAAGCAATCAAGCACAGCTGTTGTTCTTGGCCACTTTCTTGCACAATATGCAATAATCAAGACAAAAAACACAAAACAAAGAAACAAACGAATTATTAATTGAAATGCATAAACTGCTCCACTATACAAGTGACTAGCAAAGCCAGTGGGTTAATACAACAGTGTCAGTACAATTAAATCATTTTATTTTTATTTATGTAGAAAATTCTGTGGTGACTGAAGACCAGGCAGGTGGGAAACATTACAATAAACAATGTATGCAAACATCAAGAAAAAATATTGTGATAAACAAATTTGCAAGAATACAAATTGGTGATACAAGAAATGTAACAAAAACATAGCAACTTATATATAAGAATAAATAATGAAAGAAACGAAGTGATGCCCTAAAGCTTGAAGAAAAATAATACACACATGCGCACAGCCAAATTTATACACATAGAAACGCCTGAAGTACTGAAGTACTGTACTGAAGTACAAGTATTGAAGACTAAAAATCTGAATATTTCATGAGAACAAAGCACAGACATTATAACAAGCACTATAAATATGGAGAAGGTACACCCATGTCATGGTTCGGATGCTTCGAGCAATGCTTTCTTGAAGTCATGACATGAAACGATATCAGGGGGTAAGCTATTCCACTGAATAATTGTTCGGGGAAAGAAGGAATTTTTAAAAATGTTCGTCTGAGTGGAGTAAGGTAGGACGTTATTCATATGACAATGCCTGATGCGCAAAGAGAAAATGGTTGTATGTATTTGTGGACAGGAATATTCAGCTTACCATTATAAATGAAATGAAAAAATTTCCGGCGCGCGATTCTGTGGCGAAGTTCAAGCACTGGGATGTCATTGTCTTTCATAATTTTGTGGGAGAATCAGTTAATTTAAACTTAGAAAAAATAAAATCTGCAGCGTGTCTTCTTACCATTTCAAGTTTTTGAATATCTTTTTTTGTAAAAAGGGTCCCAAACCACTGATGCATATTCTAGTTTAGGCAAAATATACACTTTCAAGAAGCTGATGCCTCTCGTAAGCTTGGTGCAACCTTTTAATAAGACAAAAATGAACATGAGAGATGACTGCCACCATAGCTCAGTGGTACAGGACTGGACACGTTATTCGAAGGTCGCAGGTTCGGATGGCGCCGGTGGTAAGTTATCGTTTTGTCCACTTTTCTTTCTTCACACTACCATTCTCTTCCTTGGCAGCATCGTCTGTTAGTTCTCACGACATTAAGCAGTATCACAGCTACCTGTCAAATCAGTTAAACCCACTCGCACACCACAAGCTGACTAAATGCCAAAAGGTCGTCTTACGCCAACTGCAAACACATTCCTTCCAATGGCGTACCTGCCAAGTTGAAGAGCTCTGTATGGGGGAGATTTCTGCAACTGAGGAGGGGGAGGGGGGGTCATATGTTTCACCCCTCCCCCATATTATTTTGACTCGCACGCACAAAAAAAAAAAGTCACGGAAAGGAACAGCCTCGTAAGCAGAAACATTGGCGTAGCGGTCTTATCATGGCTTGTAAACAACGCAGGCGAAGTGCCTAAACAACAGCAGGATCTTGGTGATACGTACAAATCTCAAGGATTGTAGACAAGGAAGAGTACAAATCTTATCGCCTGAAGCTTAGCATAATAAAAAAAAAAAAAGCTAGCAAAAGCGGTTCGCTCGGCCAACAGTGGTTGTGAATGCAGCATTGAACAAGGCATGGATTCACATCATATCCAACCAGTGCTTAAATGAACAGTCTGCCCAATGAAAAAGAAGGCAGTTTTGTTGTAATGTTAGAGTGTGTGTGTGTGTGTGTTTTCACCCAAGAGCCCTTTAAGCAGTCAGGGGTAACTGAGAAGTCTCGCTACTCAAACTTGAGAGGAATAAAGCTGTGCAGCATAAACAATGTAGAGGGTAGCAAGAATGTGTTCAGTGAAAAAATGCACAAGCTGCACTGAGCTATCATATCAGAGAAGGTTCCTGCAAGACAAGCTAGCACTTCTCTCTGTTAACGAGCCGCACTTGGTGAAGAACTCTTCAAGCTGCTCTTGAGCCTGAATGCATGCTTAATAGATAACGAAGAACTTTGTTATTACTCAGCACCACACAATCAGTTGCTAACGTGTGTTGAAGACTGAATTGATGGCAGCATTCATGCCACATACATAGAGCAATGCAACTAATGGGCCAGAACAATTCAGAAGCTCTTCGGACACACAGCCCTCTACTGCCACGAAAGATTATTGATTCACAGACGCTGACCTTCACACCCTTCATTGCGATTCATTCCATGACTACTTTATGCGGTCAAGGTCTGTAATGAACACCATGATATGTTACTATTGGGGATACAAACTTTTTAGAGTTTATGGCTGTTTACACCATGTTATTATATATATATATATATATATGTATGTATGTATGTAGTTGTGTGTGTGTGTGTGTGTGTGTGTGTGTGTGTGTGTGTGTGTGTGTGTGTGTGTGTGTGTGTGTGTGTGTGTGTGTGTGTGTGTGTGTGTGTGTGTGTGTGTGTGTGTGTGTGTGTGTGTGTGTGTGTGTGTGTGTGTGTGTGTGTGTGTGTGTGTGTGTGTGTGTGTGTGTGTGTGTGTGTGTGTGTGTGTGTGTGTGCGTGCGTGCGTGCGTGCGTGCGTGCGTGCGTGTGTGTGTGTGTGTGTGTGTGTGTGTGTGTGTGTGTGTGTGTGTGTGTGTGTGTGTGTGTGTGTGTGTGTGTGTGTGTGTGTGTGTTGTGTGTGTGTGTGTGTGTGTGTGTGTCTCTTCCTATTTACATTACAATTCAGTCTAATAACTACCCCTATGCTTTCTTTGGCATTATTGTCTGTGATCCCATTATTACCATTATTATTGTTTTTAACACGGAAAAAACGAGCCCTTATGTATACACTTCTTTCCCTATGCATGTATGTATGTATGTATGTATGTATGTATATATATATATATATATATATATATATAGGCAGGCATGGTGGTTGAGTGGCTATAGCGTTGCAAGTAGTCAAGTAGATCCTCCGCGAGCGGTCACAACGTGGTTTGTTTCGACGTTTCAGCCTACAGTCTGGCCTTCATCATGATTCATCAATCCTGATGAAGGCCAGACTCTAGGCCGAAATGTCGAAATAAACCATGTTGTGACCACTCACGAAGGATCTACCTGACTATATATATATATATATATATATATATATATATATATATATATATTATATATCAGCAAAGGTTTGAGTGTCCAAAATTGGATAGCATTCTACTACGATACAATAGCCCATTCAAGCGTCTTTCTTGCAAAAATTTTGGTGTCGTCGTTGTTGTTTGCAAGTGAAAAATCATTGTCTTGTCCCAGACTGAAGAACTGAGCAAGATACAAATAATGCAACTGTAAATAATAAAACTCTTCGGGTCGGAGTGAGAATCGAATTCGGCCGCTAGTGTAGAAAGCAGATGTTCTACCACAGAGTCACGCTATTTCTTGAAACTATCCACTTTGAAAAAAAAAAAAAAACAGAGCAGCATAAGAATGCCATGTAACGAAGAAGTTTTTTTAACACATGCAATTTTGTGCAGAAGCGTAGAATTGTGCCAGGTATCAAAACATGTGATGTGTTTGACGTGTGGATGTTTTTAAGCTCTACCTATTACAAAGCCCTCAGACATATTTATCATGAGCAGCAGCTAAAGCTTCAACAAAGTGAACAGCTGCTGCCCTATCAATGTGTAGTGGGCCCCTTGGTGATTAGCAAAAGGAGTAACTAAGCTGGCACCCAGCAAGTGTACTTGCAACAGGCATTCAGGATACTTTGAAACGGCCAATGTTGTGCACACAGTTTCTTTATGGCAGGGGGTGAGGAGTGCTTGGCCAATGTTGTGCGCACAGTTTCTTTATGGCGGGGGGTGAGGAGTGCTTGGAGAGGGGGAGAACTGGAGGCTAGCAATCGAGAAGCAAATGTGCACGAAGCCCTACTACGCCGTCGTGTTTCACTCTAGAAGGCAAACAAATCAAGAAGAGACAAAGTGGCTGATGCTCGACAGACATACGTGGATGATGTCCATGTCGCGTATGTTCTGGTGTTGCCCAGTGTTGCCCCCCGACGAGGGCGAATGCTGGGAGGAGCCGCCCACCGACGCAGTGGCCGTCACCACGGTGGTGGCCGGAGTGGTGGCAGCGGCCGCGGCCAGGGGCATGGGCGATGCCTCCTGGAGCGTTTGCACCACGCACTGGTCTCCTGGGTAGGCCGACATCATCTCGGCCACTTTGCGTTGGTCGTCCTGCGACCACAGTCACCAGCCCGTGCCCTCACAAGCAGGCTTCCTTGACAGCAAAAGCTACGCTGTCTGCAGACTCCCTTTACGTAAGCATCCTTTATTGAGCACACACAAGTGACCTAGTAAGCAAACAAAACTGCAAGCAGCAGAGAATTTTTTGGATTGCGTTAGCAAGAATGTTCGAAATTAAATAATATTCGCACAATATAGGCAAGAACAAAGTTGGGATAACCACTACAATTCTTAACACTGTTCACAATCAAGAGAGCTGAGCTAGTTGCCTTTCCTGGCAGCATAAGAACTGATTGCAGTGCCCATTGGTGTGGATCCATCTTGAATAAAAAACAGCACAAAAGAACATCTTGAACATCCCGTTTTTTATTCAGTATGGACACGCTAGCAGCATTGAAAAATGCCAGGTGGTGAATTCCATTAGTTGTATTGAATTTCATTTATTTTGAAAAAGTGCAGCTTGGTCTAGCGAAATCTGCCAGGCCTCTGATGAGACGTTTCTGTGATTGTAGGAACGTAACTTCGTTGTTCTTTGGTGCTTAATGAAGCATTGCTCACACAGCTCAGGAAACTTGTTGGGCCATCAGTCTTCACTGGTGAGAGTAAAGCTCAATCAGGCAGCCTTCCCAAAACAGGCCTCATGTCTCACTTTTTAGCGCACAAAACGACAAGGACACAGCACTGTGTCATCTTTGTCCTCTTCTGCGCTAAAAAGTAAGAGTTGAATCACAGCCAAGCTTACGCTTTCTTTCGAGGTACCCAGCTGCACTACTTCCCACAGTTCATAAAGCAGCAGCAGAAGATAAGCGATGAACCTCGATGAGGGGTATTTAAAACATGGCACACCCTGTTGGTTAGAGTGAAAAGAAGTAGCGATTCTGTTTACTCTCTCTGGTTCATTGGATGACCCATTACCGAGATCTCTATTGAAACTGAACAGTGTAATTCAGTAAAGTAGAGGGTTGGGTGAGTTGGAAATGATGCATTCTTGGAAACATTTCAGCACAAACGAGACAGAGCACAAAGAAGAGGACACAAACAAGCACAGTCTAACAACTAAAGTTTATTGAACTTAAGTTTTTTTTTAATCTATAATGATTATAATAAAAATACCTGTGCTGTAAGAACTGTGTACAAAGGAGTTGGGTCCTTTGCCGGGCTATATGCCTTTAGCACCAACATCCTTTTGGGTGATTCCACGAAAGATCGACATGGGTCCAAAAGTTGATATTTTAGATTTCATTGAGTATTTTATATTTCGTGCACCTCTCACCAGGTAGCCTGAAAGTCAACTTCGTTTTATTATTAACAGCATAACTTACAAGAAAAAAATATCAAACTTCACCAAAACGAAGGCACCAACTTTGTCACCTGTCATTTTCGAAAATTGCAGATGCTATAAAAAGACAAACATTTTTGTTTCAAGGAAGATATTTTTTACCTGAAATGTATGTCTAATGAAGAGTGAATTCGTACGATTTCAAGTTTGCAGACCTTAAGAAAATAGCTTGTAAAAATGTCTAATTTTGCGACAGTTTAAAATAACTTATGTATTCCCCATTTTTTTTTTCTCCGAAAGTAATGCAAACAGCGTTTTCAAACTTGACACGTTTTTAGGATATAGTGTGTTCATTAGGTACATAAATTATTGCTGCCATAGGGCAAATGTGAATTTTTATATATTGCCTCAAAGTTCTCATATAGGCAAAAGTGTACTCCACTGAAATTTGAATAATAAAAAAACCCCATGTTCGATTTTTCTTAAAATCTCGTAAATAGACAACCGAAGGCCATCATACAGTAATATAGAAAAACATGTTGCATTCTTTTGTTTTTAGCGACAATATTCGTGGTACAAATCAGAGCTTTTCGACAATGCGCTGATAAGTTGAGAAATATCGAAATCGGAACGGAAAAGCGGCAAAGAGCTTCAAATGCGAGTAAACGTGACCGCATTTGATGAAGAAAGGCTGTTTTAGCAGATAGGAGTAACTATTTTGAACACGATATTCTACAGTATCTGAATTCACTCTTATACGTAGAGCACTGAGACTTCTTATATGTGGTGCCTCTCCATTACTGACACACAGATGGAGCTGCTGTGACAGCCATGTGTTTGCAATACGTTGGGTAAGAGAATTGAATGTTGAATGAGTTCATAAACGATTCATAACAAATTTTTATCATTTAGGGCACGAACACTGCCGCATTAGACTGAAGAACACGCTTTAGGGCAAGTTGGCATCCGTCGTCTGCTCTACAGATGAATTGCTGTGCGCCGCATCTCGGAGGCAATGCTTTAGATCATATGGTTCAAAGTAGGGACAAAGATTACGCCTACCGTAATTTTATCGACAAAACCATTGTGAAGTTAATTTTAACGTACTATACTTCAGTTTTGCATTCGTACTGCGGATACTTGCGGACGCTGTTTTACGTCTGCTCTCATTGAAGGTGAGAGACATAGGAACAGACGACAGATAGATCAGTTTTGTGCTGCTGGTTTCATGCATAGTTGCATTGCCAGTAATTTGAGCCTCAAGGAGCGTGGCGATGGCTGACCACTTCAGCCAGGATAGAGTTTTTTGTTCAGATTACCTCATGTTGCATAAAAAGAAAATACCGTATCAAAAAAACTTCCGCAAGGTCGAAGACATCGGCCTGTTTGCCCTCCAGAAGCTTTTGCCGAAAGCTGCCCGCCATGCACATAACAACGACCACGTCTGCCAGAACTGCTTCAGACGCCTCAGAGATATGCTGTCTTCGTCTAATGGCTTCTCAGCTGAAACAGCTGATGAGTTTTTGCCGGAAGAAGAAAAAGGCAGAAGTCAAGAGCGGTGCGTAAACACACCTGAAGCACTGTCACATATGCGACTGGAGAAGCTGCATGCGCAAAATAGCAAAGTTCATGCAGAGCCAAGACAACTTAGCAGCAATTCTACAGTAACCGTGAAATGCCACCGTAACGTGTGTAACCGCCACTTTCAACCATCAGATCTAAAATGCAGTGGGTGTGCCCAGTGGTTCAAGAACTTCAAGCAAGCCTATGAAGCGTGTTCTTCGTATCAAGAGCGCATGCGTTTGTTGACACTGTTGCGGAGGCGACTTAGAGCACCAAAAACTCCAAGCGCTTATACCAAACTTGTCAGCTTACATGATAAACAGATCCCGACGCTGGCGCGCGAAACACGGGATATGGTTAGCACCAAATGTGGTAAAAAGGACACGGCTGAAACCAATGGACGTCCAGGCAGCTATGGCTTACTACTCCAAAGATGAGTATAGCTGCTCTCGGCAGAGTTGGAACAAAAAAAAAGATGTAGTATCTGTTATCATTGACGGAAAAAAGAAAGCTTGTTTCGAAAAGGTTTATGACCCGTTCGGTACGACAGGCTTACCGTCTCTTTAGAGAAGCTAATCCGAACACGTCTATTGGGCTCACAAAATTTTATTCACTGAGGCCGAAGTGAGTTCTTCTTGCACCACACCAAGAAGTGTGCCTTTGTATATACTGTGCTAATGCAACGGAGTGTGTTTCTGCCCTACAATACGTCACCGATGGTGTCTACACGGCGGATTTCTTAAAAAAACTATGTCTTTGCAGCTCCCCTACAAGTGATTGTTCTTTAGGCAATTGTGACTATTGTGCAAAGGAAGACACTCTGACAGCCACATGTTTAGGAATCCCTGAAGATATTGAAGTAGCCTATGCAGTATGGGAAAATGGCGATCTAGTTAAAAAAAACAGCCCAGGCAAGAGCTTTTCTGCGAGAGCTAAGTCTATGGTTTGTGAAGTGGATTACCCTTGATTACATAAGATACATTCAAGAATCAGCAATATGCCAGGCGAAAGAGAACCAAGAAAAAAAAATCTTGCATTTTTCACTTTGATTTCGCCCAAAATTGGACAGCCATTTTACCGAATGAGGTACAGTCGTATCAGTGGCACAAAAGACAGGCGTCTATATTCACGTGTGTCGTCACAAGGAAGCAATCAATTCAAAGTTTTGCCGTCATCAGTGATGACACATGCCATGATGCTGCACATGCCTGTTCTGCTCTACAAATAATCCACAACTATATGAAGAAACAACTTAAGCCTGACACGCATGTTACTTTTGTTTCTGATGGTGCATGCAGTCCAAAAGGACTTGTTTTTGGGCTAGTTAGTGCATACTTGGTGCAGAAAACTGAGGCGCAAGAAACATAACGTGAAGCAGGAAGAGCAGGAGAGAAGACAGAACAGCCCTGTTCTGCTTTCTCTCCTGCTCTTCCTGCTTCACGTTATGTTTTTTCGCCTCAGTCTTCTGCACCAAGGTGCATGCAGTCACTTCAAAAACAAGTACCAGTTGTTCGAGTTATGTCAGAAAGATCATATATCAACAAAGTGGATTTTTTCGGCCCCAGGACATGGCAAGAACACTTGTGACGGCGTTGGTGGCCTACTAAAGCATCAGGTTACGCTCTACAACCTCAGAGCGGCAAGCTCAGCTGTGATTATGTCAGCATCCCAAATGGTGGCGCAAATGAGCGCGAAGCTCAAGAATGTCAAGCTGCTGTGTGCAAATGCAGATGAGCTAGAAACATTCTGTCAGTTTAAGAAGAGCCAGTGGAAATTGTTGCCACATGTTCCAGGCATACGTTCTTGGCATGTTTGGCTAAGCACATCTGAGGGCACTGATCGTGGTCGTGTTTTGTTAGCGTCATGTACTGCTAAATGTGATCTGCAAAAGATGCAGCCACTTTGAGCGCATCTCTTGTTTCCCGCAGTCATCACCAAAATACCAGTTAAGGTAATTCAAGCGCATATGCTTTTTCTAGCGAGACCCAACACTTGCGTTGGAACATTTTCATGTTTGAGTTTATCTGCAAATATAGACAAATGTTTTGCAACTGAGTTACGGTGTCAAAGATTTCCTCCATTAGAGCTGTGTTATCAGGAGCATAAGTGCGCCTTTATGGGTACGTATTTGTCACGATGCTAAAACAGC